GCGGAATATAGCATGAGATGATGATAATATCAACTTTTGGTTTGAACTTCAAATGTATAGCACACCAGAACTCGTTGATTGAGTAGGTTTTGAAAATATGTGTGGCCATTGATCTGGTTGTAATAATACAGGCTCCATTACATGTCGCTACACTGGGTTGGCTTGAGATAATTATGTTGTTGTTAATTAGTTTTGGTAGGGGATTGTTTTTGGTTGCCTTTGTTTTAGTGATACATAATAGGCTTCTTTCATTAATAACTAGTTTGGTAAGTTCAGAGAGTTTTCCTCTCTGGATGAGTTCTCTTGCATTGAGAGTTGTAATGTTGATGAGGTTTTTGAGTTGGAGTGAGGGTTTTCCCTTCCCAGAGAATGTTCGGAGTTGGATAGGATTGGGCTTATCGGATGGGTTTGAAAGGGAGATTTGGTGAGTATTGTTAAATTACTGTTGTTTATGGTTTGGTTATTAGGTGTGGTGATTTCTAATGAGTGATTAAAGTTAGTTGTCTCTGTCATAATTAAATAAGTGTTGGGAGAAGAGTCAACTTGGGTTCGGGTGACTTGGATTCAATAATGAAATCTTGTGGAAGTTTATCGAAGTAGAAATAAGTGCCAAGAATTTTGATCTTTTCTCCGAGTTGAGCATCATCCAGAAGTGGTATGGATAGTTTGACTTTTTTGTCTGATAGTGTTTTATTTGTTTCATTTACACTAGGAAGTGTTGGTAAGAGTGGGGTGATCCATTCCCATGGAATTATACCTGTATAATTGCTTTTGATTTTGTTAATAGTTTGTTTAAAATCGGGGGAGTTTCGGTCAAGCTGTTCTTTGCTGATGCTGAGTTCTGTTTCTATTGTAGTTAGATTATCTGAAAGTTTTGGTTTGTCAAGTTGGATTAAGTTTTCATTGATCCATTCGGGTCCTAGTGAGAGTTTTACATGAAACTTTAATTTGAGATCTTTAATAAGTTCATCTGCTTTCTCCTGCGAGGTTATGGGCAGGAGTATGGCATTGTTTTCGCCATACCAGTGGGAGGGGAGAAGGGGGCGTTTAACCTTTATGTAGTCTAATGGCAGACGTTTGACTGTGTAATTGTTGTTTCTTAGGAGATTGACTCCTTTTTTGAAGCTGTCAATGCTGTTGTCTACTGTGAATTCCCTGGCTAGGTAATGGGGGAGATCCCTGTAGGAGGGTGGTAGAATTAGTTTTGGTGGTGGAAGTTCGAAGTAAGAATCCGGTAGCTTGCCGGGTACATAATAATCTTCTCTCAGTTTTTCAACACACATTTTGAGATCTAGGAGCTCTTCTCTCTCTGTGAGTAGAAACTTGTGTATTTCCACTGGTTTTAGATTGGCTGGGTCAGGAGGCAGGTCAGGTTTTTTGGCAAAGTATGACATCGGGAGAAGTTCAAAGTTGTAGAAGGCCCTAAGGCTTCCTGCGATCTCTCTTGTGTCTTTGTAAAAATGATTGGTATTGCTTTTGGAAGCCAGACTTTAATTGCTTTGGGGATATCGTCTGGATTCTCTGGGAGGTTGGGAAGATTTTTTTGATCATTTTTTCGCATGCTTCGTAAATTTCGTTATAGTCAATTTTTTTCAGGTTGGGGTTCATGAAAAAGTTAAAGCTGTACTCCAGGAGTTGAGCGACTTGCCAGTATTTTAAGAGTGTCAAGTCCATCGACCCAAGGTAAGCTATAAAGAGGGCCTTGTTGATGATTACTCTGATTTTTTTCCTGATGGTCCTGGTGATGTATCCCACATTATTTGTTTTGAGATAGTTGCTATGGAATTCTTTTTCTAATTTTTCGTATTCTCTTTGATGTTGGCTTTTAATTAACTCGTCTTTTGTGAAAGTTCTGAAAAAGTCGTGATCCCTGTACTTAATTTTGGAAAAAATTCCTTTAAGTGAGGTTCTCGGCACTCTGATTGGTTGGTTTTTGATTTTGATGAAAAGATTCACAATGGATTTGGTATTTCTGTCGCACTGGGGGATGCTCATCAATTTCTATATTAGTGAGAGTTGTTTGTGTATCCTGTGGAGCGATGCGCTGTGGTTTATTGATGGAGTGATCTGCATGTACCTGTGAGGTGATGCTCGTGTCCGTTTGGGGGCTGGTTTGATTGTCGTTGCACTCAGGGGTAGGTGCATTTGTTGTTTTATTGCCACAATCGAGTTGCATGCTATTGTCGTCAATCATTTCCTCTATGGGTGCGGGTGTGTTTGGTGAGGGTCTAGGTGTTTCAGTTTTTTGGATGTCGAAGGTTTAAGAGGACTCATCTGCGATAATGTTTACTTTGGTCCAGGGAAGGTGTAAGTTGTAATTCATTGTGTTTTTGATAACTTCTCTGATGGCGCGCTCTCTGTCACTCTTTTCCAGCTTAAAGTTTATCTGGTGTTCTGTAAAATTATTGAGTGTTTGCAAGGACTTAGGGTTTAAGACTGAGGTTGAAAATTTAAGTTGTGG